ACACAAAACTGCTTTCTAGAGATTAAGGCATTTGGGCTCCCACAGAAAACACCAGCCCTGATGTAGATAAGATCACAATAAAACATTACAAACCACACACACTCAAGATATTTAGCATTAAACGCCAAAATTAAAGCCCAAAGGGCTTTACTTGTTCATAATGATCATACTGTTAAAATTTAAAAGTCTGACAATACTAAAATGGAGGATAGAAATCAACTGGCAATCTCATACACTGAGGCCAAAAGTATGAACTTGATACACATATTTTGGATACCACATACTGCCTACTGATTCCATTCCAAAGTATAGTAAGTCTAAAATTCTTACTTGAGCAAGAAGAAAAACACAGTATCCACTAGTTCATTGTTTGTTATATGGTATTAAAAAAGAACAATGTACTTCAATATTAAATGATGGTGTACTTATATACAATGATGCCACAGAATGCTTGCAATGAGCATTCTAGATTTGTGTTGCTGTGTTTAAACTGAAAATGCAATATTGAATGGTTATTGCTGATTTAAAAATACTATTTTTATAGTATGGATACTTCAACACAGTTAAAACTCAGAAACAGTTCTGTTTTTTGCTCATGGATATACACATGTCCATGAGTACAAGTAGAAAACCTGAAATCCAAATGCCAGAATGCAGAATAGTCTTTATCTGGGGACATCTGTGTAGAATGGAATGATTGGGCCAAATTCATGCCACAACAGTTATATTTCAAAATAATATTTCATCAGGAAAAAATGGGGCAAAATGCTTATCTATTAAAAATGTGGTTAACATATGGTTATCATGCTTTCTTTTTGTATAATAGTATACTTTCAAAATAAAGTGAAACTTAAAAGTAAGGATTAATTGAAGATGATGGCCCAGGCCTGTCATCCTATCACTTGGGAAATAGAGGCAGAGGTTCAGGCTAGCCTGGACTTCACAACAGACCCTGTCTCAAAACAAACAAACACCAACAACAAACAAAGCTAAGTAAACAAATACTATACTAAGGATTTTCTTCCCTGAGCAAGTGACTGGCATGGTTATGTACAGGTTTGTTCTTTAGAAACTTTCCTTGCCCTTGCAGGGAGTAAATCTTAGGAGGGGATAAATAGAGGCATGGAGACCTGAGGAAGAGGCTGTGCCAAGAAGATGGGAAAGAAGTTCATGAGACTGGCATAACTTGGAGGTCCGTGGGTTGAAAGAAATGCTGAATTTGAAAGCTATTCCGAAAACAAAATGCTGATGTTGTTAGTCTCTTCCCACCCCCGCTTTGGTATTACAAAAAAAAAAAAATTTTTTTTTAGATGGCTCTGATGGCTCATGCCTGTAATTCCAGAACACAGAAGTCGGAAGCAGGAGGAACACAAGTTTGAGTCTGAACTATAAGACCCTGTATCTCAAAAGATACAAAAAAACATTTTTTGTCTTTTTAAATAAGCTATTTTATTCTTCCATTTGCAGTTTAAATATGACAAGTAGACAAGAATACAGACCACAGGTGTATAGCTTAATAAATTTACATTCAGTGATTGGCACTTAAGTGGTCTTCTCCCAGTCAGCATATGCCACAAAAGTAATCACAGACCTAAGTTCTATCACCATAGAATAACTTTGCTTGCTATCATTTTATAAAATGGAATGCATAGTTTGTATTCTTTTTATATCTGGGTTCATTCTTTCCACAGGTGTTTTGTGTAACTCACTCATGGAGTTTTAAGTATGCTGGTCTGTTCATTTTCATTGCTCAGTAATATTCCTTGTGTGAACAGCAAGTTCCACTATTTAATTATCTGCTGTGTTGATGAGAATTTAGATTGTTTCCAGTTTTAGATAGCACTGCTACATGCATTCTTGTAGATGCCTTTTGCTGAGCATGCATATATCTTGTTGGGTATGTTTTGAAAGTACAATTTTTAGAAGATAATATCAGCTTCATTAGGTACTGGAAAAGATCTCCAAAGTTCCGATCTATATCACCTCAACTATTGTCTCTCATTTATAACAGTATTAGATGCATTGTGATATTTCACAACTAACAAGTTGAGAATCTATCATCTCCCACTTGTATAACCTCTGTTTAAAGTTTTAAAATTAGATTGTCTCATTTTTTCTTATTACTTCTACCCTGTTTTGGATTTAAAACAACCAAAGCATTCTGGATACTGCTATTCATCTATCTGGGATTTTTAAATTTTTATTCACTGCTCTCTTTTTGATGACATAGGAGGGTCCAAATGTGATGGTATGTTTTAAGTATATTAAATATCCTACATACTTGTCATTACTGGAAGGGATCTGAATTCAGGTCCACAAGGTTCTGTTTGGTTTTGATGAGATGGAGTTTCACTATGTAGTCAGGCCTAGACTCAAACTCATGATCCTCCTTTCTTAGCTTCCCTAGTGAAGGATTGTAGGTAGATCTTCACATCTAGCCTGACAAGATTTTTAATTGAGTCTCAGTTCTTGTTTCAGTAGAATAGAAACAATCAGATCATTCTCTCTATGGGGGGGGGGGGATTTAAATGAAGCAAATCACATGAAGTTCCCATGTCAATGCTTACATATGAACAGTCCCTTGGAAATATTTGTGAATAAGCTAATGAATATATGAATTCATTCCAACTAGGAGAAGAAAATCTTACCCAGACTGTGGGCTGGTAAGTTTTTTATTTCCACACCGGGGCTGGGGGTGAGGGTCGGAGTATGTCCTAACTTGAAAAGAAGAAAAAGTTTTGCTGATTTTTATGTCTCTGCAGTCTGGTCAATTGGGTAGTTATCAAGTCATGTGACTTTCTGACCTAAATGCTGATTGAATCAACAAGTATCAGGAACTACTCAATGCCAGACAGGAAGGTAGGACAAGGCAGTGAGGAAGGAAGTCTTGCTCTTGTTCCAGAGCATCTTATGGTCTTGATATGGTTCCCCCCCTCCCTTTTTTTATTTTTTCAGTTGTGGGGCTTGAACTCGGTTGATGTGGATCTTTACTTACATAATTTTAGCCCATAAGGTGAGCTGGTTACTGACATCTGTCAAGCAAGAGTGTCACCTCTAGGGGTGTGGCCAGGTATGTGCACACCTGACCAGAATCTGCAGCGTAAGGAGTCAAAGAGCTGGAGTCCTTTTCAAACTTTACTGTGCACATGAGAATGGGAATCCATATGTACATGTGATCTGGGGGTCTTGTTCATAGAAGATTCAGGTTCTAGAGGTCTAGTGTGTGTATGTGTGGTAAGGGAGAGGGGGTTCCTGCTTCTGTTGTCCAGCCATACATAGTTATGTATCTACTTTTGAGAATCAAGGGTCAAAGCCGAGAGAATGGCACGAGCAAAGAAATGTAGAACAACAAACAATCCAGAGCTCAGAGACATTAAAGAAAAAAAAGTGTCCAAAGGCTCAACTCATAGCCAGTAAGTGACAGAACAGAGAATGTAACCTGGGCCCAAGTCCCAAAGCCCATGCACTATCCTGAGTCATGAGGCTGCTTGTCATAGGTGCATGGGTATTGACATCAGGGCCATCTTTCCCATGGCTGTTTCTTCTTGAGGCTAGTTCACTAGTCAAGCAGTTTTGGAAAAGCAACACAGAAAGATGAGGGTACCGGGGGGTGGGGGAAGGGAGATGACTGTCAGGAGTGTGGAGTCTGCCACCACCAGTTCTTCCACTCCTGTGTACCTCTCCTCCCCCAACCCCTCTCTTTGGACCTTTATTTGTTCTTCAGATTTGACATGAAAATGTGGATTGTGGCATTGAGGGTCTCCCCAAGCAGCATCCTGAGAGCCTCAGGTACATCACCACAGAAGGGCTGGAAAGTTGCTGGGCAAGGGCAGGGGAGGGGGGAGGGACGAAGAATAGCAGACAAACCTTGGTGGCAAGAAAGCAACTTCTGATCTATGAGTCACACAGTTGGACTCCAGGCCTTTGAATCAAATGGGAAGGAACTTCCCGGGCTGGACTTGGAGCCTCTGTCTTTTTGAGTGTCTGTGAATGTCATACTATACCTGAACCATCACTGTATTTGTTGTTGTTTGAACCATATAGATTAACAGATGGTGCCCTAAAGATGTCCATGTGCAAAATTCCTAGGATCTGGACACTGTTGTATGTCAAACAGGAATGTAATAGCAGATAGAATTAAGTTTGCTAATCAGCTGACTAACATAGAAGGAATATCTTAGATAATGCAAGGGTCCAGGCAATCACCCAGACCTTTACCTATAGAAAAGGAGGAAGAATCAAAGAGAAGGTAGAGAAGGGCTCAGCCTGACTGTTGTCTTAGAAGATGGAGAAGGAGGGCCACAACCTAGAAGGGCAGGTGGCTTTGAGAAGCTAATGTGTAATGTTTCTAATCTCCACACTTTGCTAATAGCAGCAACTCATGATAGAACTGCCCAGCAACTTCTTGAATAAAAATCTTAGAAAAGTCACTTCATCTACAAATTCAGTAGCATTCCCTGTTCCTTAATCTGAGAACTTCTGTAGGGGTAAACAGAAACACACAGGCAGAACTGGATGGGATATAGGTCCGCTGCCCATGTAACTTTCCAGTTCCCATTTTTCTTCTAGGCAAGAAAACATCCAGGGAAGAAACACAGGAGCCAAATGAACCCTTCCTTTGATGTGAAGGGCTCCCCATAAGCTCCCCAAGCACACCTTATCTACAGCATGACTCCTTATCTCCTTTTATTCTTTTTTTTTGGGGGGGGGGGCTTCCAGCTCCTACGTCCCCCATGAGAAAAGCCCTTTAGAATACAAAAGCTCTTTAGAAGAGCCTAGTTGAAAGCAGAGCCAGAGCCTCACTCTGCAAACAGGCAATCAGAGATGAAAGCGCAGCTCAGACATCAGTATCTCCATCACAGACACCAGGCTTCCACTGAGACAATCTGGAGGCGCTGCCCAAACACCCTGAGCCCAGGCAAGCCCACTGGGAGAGGCCTCTTCTTACCCACCTCTCCACACAAACATCCCTGCAACACTCCAGGCGTCTAGTGCCTTAGTTAGTTGTGTTATGAGCTTTTATTTTAAAAAGCACATTTAATACAAGTATAGTTTCGCAGATACAAGTTTTCACTTTGTATGCTACAAAAGTCTTTTGAATATTATTCTCTTTACAAAAATGGAGCCTTACAAAAATACTGACAATTTAATGTTTTTTTATACACTTTTCTCTAGTTGCAGTTATTTCTCTTGTTGTAAAATGATAGCTACCACAGAACTATGATATTTTAGTTGAGATTAAAAAAAAAAAAACAACAAAATTAACTCGGTGCTTTTTGAAGCAGCTAAAGTAAATGACACAGGTCGAGACACAGTTTATAATCATAGTGGATATAGCTAAAATTGTTTCAGAAATAATATTTTACATAGTTAACTTTTAAGGTTTTATACATTATTTATATAATATTTATATATAAAAATCATAGCTTGCTATACGTTGAAATGAAAGGACGGAGTCTGTGGTGGGATGTGCACGTGGTCTGTCATAGGGTTCATGTAGCCCTTTGAGAGATTTGCATCCAAGACCAAGAGATTTGCATTTCTTCTTTCCTCCTTTCCTTGGTAGTTCAGTAAAGAGGGCCCCTTACTACCGCCCACAGTGGGACCTTGCTTGAAGGACACTTACGGATAGAGGATGAGGACGACTCTGTTCAGAGCTTTAAACCATGTGTTCTGCCCAGCAGAACCCACCAAGAACTGCCCCAGGGGTCAACCCCAAGACAATAGTGTTTTACACAGCTTAACAAGAGCAATTCCCAAAAAGACCTTCTCCACTCCATTATTGTCAAGGGTAGCCTCTCTGGCAGGCCAGCATCAGCTCAGCTGCTAACTCTGGCTCCTTCTGACTTGGAGTACCCAGAAGGGTGGTGTGATTCTCTTTCTTCCCCTTTTCCCTTCCCTGTTTCTTGAACAGCGGCTGCTTTCCATCAGCCGGAGGCAGACCATGCCTTTGCTCATCCCTGGACCTCACAGGGAATCCTGGTAGGTACATAGCAAGGATTTCAAAGGAGACAGCAATAACTGAAGTCTAACCATTTCTAAGTGTGAAAGTGCCCAGTGATTGATGTATTCAGCATCCTGTAAATCAGCTTTCCCCGAATCACAGGATGATGCGTCAAAAGAAGCAAATGAGGACCTGTAGTCTCCATTTCCTCTGAAATTGTGCTGTTTGTGAAGCTCACTCTTCCACAAAGAGTCTCCTAATCTTTAAAGTGTTGATTTGTGAGCTGGGGAAAGAGGATAAAGGCCTAAGGACCAGGAAGGGGGCGGGGGGGGGGGGGGTGGAATCTGGATTCAGGATCTGATCACATGACTGTGCAACGTGGTTCATCTCTTATATTCCAAGACCAAAACAAAACTTCCTGAACCAAAGTCACAGTAGAGAACAGAACCGGATGGGCAGAGGGATGTAAGAGGGGATGCCCGCTGTGGTTCTGGGATGGACAGAGGCTATAAGAGGGGATGCCCTCCCTGGCGATGGATGCTCTGGATTCAGTGCTGTTTCTGGCATCCTGTGCTTACAATAAAAATTTGAGCTTTCCTCCCAGGCCTGGGATTACTCAGGTCCTACAAGGTGACTGACCAGCAGACTCTGCTCAATCAGGTGAGCATATGGCCCTGAACAAGCCCATGACCCCCAGAGAACATGAACTCTTAAAAACCAATTGCACATCCAGGACTCCGGCACTTGGTGTTAAGTTTGCTGGGTTTTTGTTTGCTTGTTTCCACATAGGTGAAGACTACCTATTTTGGAAGGCCACAAGGTTAAGACTTTTCTTTGTTTGTTGCATTAAAAATAATTAAAAAAAAATCAATTGGGCACAGAGGTTTTCCCTACATTCTACTGTCTGATGAGATTGGCGAGCAGCAGGAACTTGCTGTCAGCAGTCATTTTACAAAGACAGCTCCGGAGGCAGCAGCACCTACACCATGTTGTGGTGATTGTTCCTGTCAATGACATCCACGGGTGACAGGATATCCTTCCTGATGGCAGCAGGAGGCAGTGACAGTGTTGTCTTGGTCTTGAAGAGGTCTGACACGAAGAACACCTAGGAGCATAAATCAGAGATCCAAATGAGTAACACTCATCCAGGGCCTGGGGACAGGCAGAGGGAAGTGGGGAGGGATAGAAATATGAGGGAAAGGGGGCCTCAAATGACAGATCTTTGAACAGGTAAGGACCACAGAGAGCACACAGTCTCACTCTTATTGAGCAAATAGGGAAACTGAGGCCTGGAGGACAGTGACATGGGTTCCAAGCTCTACCTGTAGCCCACACTTCCTTATTTCTCAGTATCACTAGAGCAACAGAAGATAAGCTCCTAGCAAGGGAAGTCACAGTTCCAGTCATAATTAGTCAGCTGTCAATCCGCATTACTTTCCCTTTCCTCACAAAGGAATCCAGGGTGTAACTAAAAAGATCAGCCAGTAAGAATGCCTATCAGCAGGAGCTGAGGCAAGGAAGCAGTGGTAACCAGTTTTTCCAGGCAACCTTGTGATATCTATCCACCATGGAATGGGGGTCAACAAGTCAGGGTCTTGTTACTGAGGAGTCAGCAACTAACTCGGAGCAAATGTCAAGGGGGAAAAAAAAATCTCCCGTCCTTATTCCCAGTCTTCTTCCTCCTCACTGGCCTGTGACCTTGTGAATCTTTCTCAGAATCACTGAAACACATTTACTGGACACACACCCACTTGCCAGTGTGGAGGATGGTGCAGAGAGGGTTGCTGTCTCAAAGTCTATGCTGACAGGTTCAAGAACCTGAAGAGCTACTGGAGTCAGGAAAAACATATGCTTTGTATTAGACAGCAAGATAAATAGGTGGAGCTATCCCTTGGAGCCCTTTAGCAATAGGAAGTTTGTATTAACTAATCATAAATGGCAGCTGCCAGTCATGTAACTTTACAGGAAATACATGGCTGGGTTCCAGCCAGGGAATAAAACACTTTCAAAGTTTCTGAGTGGAGATGTGACTCCCAGTAGAGTGCTTACCCAGCATGCACAAGGTTCCTAGCTTTGATGCCTAGCACTGGATGGAGGTGGAAGTGGACAGAGTGGGAAAGAGTCTCACTGTCCCTCATCTTTCATCGTTCTGAACTGAAAAGTAGTTGTATCACAGACAGACAATAATGAGGGCACTGTGACTTCATTCTGGCTATCTTCTCAAGAAGAAAATGGAGTTCTTAATAAGACTTCCATTGCACTAAGGCTCTAGCAGCCAGCCTTGACTACAGTAAAGTCTCGGATTACTTGTTGAGCCCATTTCTTTCTCTCTCTCTTTCAGTGTCCTTTCTGAAGCAACAGAGAGGTCAACAAGGTGTCCTAGAAGTCACAGCAAGAGCTGGTGATCTCACTTAAGCTAGGAGCAGAAGATAGCTGTGATAGAGGCCAAATGTTCTCTATGGATTTTTCGATTTTGTATATGTATACCTACTCCAATGTTTATTTATTTTTCTTTTTGTTTTAAAAAAAAGTAAAGAAGGCTAAGTTATTTTTATGTTATTAAAAGAAAATGAAATAGTAGCCAGGAAACTATAACACCTTAATATACTGGCAACTTGAAAGCCATTCAAAGTACCATCTTGGCACAAGAAAAAAACACTAAACCTTCTCTCCCTTCCCTCCCTAAGGAGGTCTGAGGGATGGTGGGGATAGGGGGAGGAATCTGTGCTATGAGAAGCCAGCTCTCCTAACCACAGTCAAACTTGAAAACAAAAAAAGCAAGTGCCTGAATATCACTTGCCAGCAAGCTCTGGGTCTCCCCTGCTAGAGAGTCCCTTACAAGCGGGAAGAAAGAGCACCCAACTGCTCCCATTATAAAGAAATGCTAACAGATAGGATTAAAGTTCAACGTGCTTGATACTGAAACTTTTCAACTCAACCCAGCCTTTCTCCACACTTTACCTTATCTTCCCAGTGGCTTTACTTCTTACTGTACTGAACCCATTGTTATCATCTGACAAGGTGCAGGGGTGGACAATGGCCTCTTCTCTACCTGAAAATTACCCTTCCTTTCATTTTCTGCTTTGTTTCTCAGGAAGATGGATGGATACCCCCTCCCCCCCATCACTGGTTCTCATCTCCACTTATTCCTGTTTAGCAGAGATTCTGAAAACATGATCCTCACTCTCACATCCTTGACCTCCCAGAGAATGTGTCCCAGACCTAATTCCACCCACAAACATAGCAAGGCACCCTGTAAAGAAACACCTCCACCTTCAAGATTCTGAACCATCTATCCCAGTTTCTACTGGCTTATCTTCTCTCTAGTTGTCTGGGCTCATATCTAATCCACATTAGATTTGGCATAATATGAAGGTCAAAGGCAATAATTGTCTCAAGAATTGTCTCTAAGCCCTTCTTATCTTATACTTATGTCAACAAAAGGTAGGTTTTCCTCTAATGTTCTGGACACAAGAGTAATTCCTGGGCCTAGGATAAGTCTTTCTCAGGTCTCTAAAGCTTTGATTGGCTACACCGCCTCGGTGGGTGGGTTCTTGAAGATAGAGCTCCAGAGCTTATGGCCTCATATCAAACTTATACACTTAGGTTGGCCCCAAATACACTAGGAATTGCCCAAATGCTAGTTGTTGAATTTCTCATTTTCTCTCCCTTACTTGGAAACAAGCTCTCTGGCCTCCGTCTTTATGGGCATAAAAAGCACCTACAGGTATCAGATGAACTACATAGTCAAACACCACATGCACATAGCCAAGTGATAAGATGAAAAGTTGAGCCAGGCCCAGGAAAACCTCACCCCTAGCTGTTCTCCGAGTCCACAGTGGCTGGAGGCTATGCATTTACATTGGGGGATCATGAAAAATAAGTCTGTTCAAGATTCAAACAGGACTTGGTCTTCCTGATGCTTGAATAGTAGAATACACACACACACACACACACACACACACACACACACACAAAAGAGCTAGGAAAAGCAAAAATGTCTTGTTTTGGAACAGTTCTACTTTCTACAGAAGATGATCTTCACCCAGAAAGGGAATCCAGAGGCCCAGGTTGGGAAGGTTCCACACAGATTCCCAGCTATCCAGGTCCATGAAACAAACTCATTTCCAGCCCACAGACCTACTCCACCACTCTTCTCTGCTGAGTGAAAGAGTATACTAGACAATAAACACAGTCTCAACAAATAATAAAACCTGACCCAAATACCAAGAGGAATTCTAAATTAAAGTGCCAGGTTACATTTGCTATTCATTTTATTTTTCTGAATCCTTAAGTTCTATAAATGGGCTTCTTTTGTATAAAGAATAAACACAATCAGTAAACATGGATTAAATCCTTGCTGTGTGCTAAGCCCCAAGAATATAAAAAGGAATATACATCCATAAAGCAGAGTTCATTGCCCTCCAGGAGCTTCGAAGCTAGTTAGGGAGAGAGCTGGGTAAAAGCCAATCAGGAATCTGTTTTAAGGAACACACTAACAGGAAGCCAGTGTTAAAGAAGCCTGGAGAGGGTGGCACCTAACCCAGACTGAGGGAGTGGGAGCGGGCCTTATAAGGTTTTGCCTCAAAAGATAGATACATGAACTTAGCTTTGAAGGTTGAGGAGCTAGCCAGGTGGTGAAGACCAAATATACGGATACAGGCTGGGGGAGCAGCTTGTGCATAGACTGAGGCATGAGATGACAGAATGTTTGGAAATTGTGGGTACCAAGTATGGCAAGGACAGAGCGATCCATAGAGATGGACAGCAGAGGGCCCGGTCTGGAGAAGCCTCCCTTGGCCATATTAGCAAGTCAAACATCATCCCTTTGGCCCTAGGAATCATTGTCAAGACTTAACAAGAAGCATCCTGTTGGAAAGACTTGTATTTAAGGTAGTGTATGAATCTAAACTGGAAATGGAGTCAAGGAGAGTTCAGAAAGCCTGAAGGTGGACTTACCTGGGCTCTGAGCATAGTTCTCAATCACCAACCCACCATGAAGACAGGAAGAGATGGATTCTGAAATGCTCCAGATAGGACTATAGCAGACAGAGGTGGCAGGAGCATGGGGAACAAAGAGGTAGTGGTGGTGGTTGAGTTTCAGGAGGAAGTAATGTTTTTCTTGCCAGTTCTGTTTTCTAGTCTACAAATCTTTACGCTGGTTCCCATAAAAACTCTCACCAGCCAGGCCCCAGTGGCTCACACCTGTAATCCTAGCAACTCGGGAGGCTGAGACCTGAGGATCACGGTTCAAAGTCAGCCAGGCAGGGAAGTCCATGAGGCTCTTATCTCCAATAAACCACCAGAAAACCAGCAGTGGCGCTGTGGCTCAAGAGCTGAAGAGCTGAGGGACAGTGCCCAGGGCCCAGAGTTCAAACCCCAGGACCGGCCAAAAAAATAAAAAAGAGAGAAAAAACTCTCACCATTGGGATAATTAGGCTAGGGGGAAAATGATAGTTCAGCTTTCTTCCACTTTCTAGTATTTTGGCTTCCTGTGACAGTGTCTTGGGGAAAGTGGTTGTGACCCCAGAAGACTGTCAAGTTCTTCTGTGGCCAGATGCAATATCTGATTTAGGCAAACTCTCTGGAGAAGGTTTCTCCTTCTTTAAGAGTGAGACTACACATAAACGATGCCAGAGGGACTCTATTCTGAAGTGAGGAGATAAACCATATACAGGGAGTCTCTTTGTAAAAGGTAGAGTAGCTGACATTACTGTTCTAGCACCATTACTTGCCATCTTCTATTCGCATCCCTGCTCCACCCACCCTTTCCTCTTCCCACGCCACGCCCCAACCACGCAGTACTGGTAAAAGCCTTTGCTCTTTAAATTAAGACAGACCTATGGGAACAGATGCCACTGGCTCATGTGTTCAAGGCCTAGCAATAAAATAATAAAATAAAATCTCTTCTAAAATCTCCACCCCACATATGGAAAGAGAAGAAAAAGGAGAGAGAACCAGCCAAAGAACAGACATGCTGGGCATGGTGACACATACCTACAATCCCAGCACAAGTTCAAGGCCAAGCTGGAGACCAGAGCAGAATGACTGAGAACGTGAACGAGCCAACACAGATTTGGCTGGATCTATGATGGGATTTTCCCC